GTAAATCATCATAGACAATTTGTGCTGCTGGGCTGTGGTTTACTCGCAAGCAAGACAATTGAATCCTATACATGGCTGTTTGGAGCTTGGCTTATATGCATATTGGGACACCCTCCACAAGCCATCATTACTTACCAATGCAGAACATTGCAAACTGCCATTTCTGATGTTTTCCCTAGAGCTTCTCATTGTCTTTGCTTATCGCATATAATGCAATTTAGGAGGGTTGTTTTGAATATGAAACAATTAAAGAAACTTTGAATAGAACAGTTTAGTACTCTCTGAGGGTAGAGCAATTCGAAGCAGCTTGGGAGGATATGGTCTAGCGCCATGGAACTAGAGATCTTAAATGGCTTTAAGCATTATTTGAAGAGCGGAAGCAATGGGTTCCAGTATATTTGAAGGAGATATTTTTGGTAGGAATGTTCCCTGTGCAGCCAAGTGAGGTTGTCTCTTCGTACTTTGAAGAACTTCTTCATAAATATACTACTTTGAAGGAATTTTTAGATAAGTATGATCAAGTTCTGCAATGGAAGCCTTGGTTGATTTGGATGCAAGAAATTCGAGTTCTATGTTGAAATCAAGATGCTATTTTGAGTTGCAACTCTCCAAAGTGTACACTAATGACATTCTTAGGAAGTTTGAATCGAAGGTAAAGGGAATGTATTCTTGTTTTAGCACTAGTTAGTTAAATGCTTATGGGCTAGTCGTAACATACATTGTGCAGGAACAAACTGAAGTTGATCCTGCACTGAAGTTGATGGAAATAGGACAGAGATGAGAGACTATGAGGTTTTTCTAGAAATATGAATGAATCGAATTATTTTATTCTCTCCTCATTCTGATGTATTTATAAGATGTATAAAGTATACAAAAAAGATAAGTAAAAAAAGTCAACTATATTAAATAATAAACTCTAAACCTAATATATCACGTCAACGCTCTCCCTCAAGTTGGTGCATAGATATCACATATGCCCAACTTGGATAGTAATGTATGGAGTTCTTTACTAGAAACTGCATGGGTCATCATGTCGGCTAGCTGGTCTGCTCACTTGATGTGAGGCACAGTAATGATGTCATTCACAATATTATCCTTGATGAAATTAATGTATGTCAACCTCAATGTGTTTGGTTATGTCATGTTGGATAGGATTATTAGCAATTTCAATGGTTGCTGTGTTATCACAATACATTACCATTTGTTTCTCGGGGCCAAATCCAAGTTCCTTCGTTAGGATCTTCAACCAAATTAGTTCTGTCATAGCATGATGACGAGCTCCATATTTAGCTTCCGCACTAGACAAAGACTCCACCTTTTGCTTCTTGCTTCTCCAAGTTACTAGATTGCCTCCTATGAATGTTGCATTACCAGATATAGACTTCTTCTCAAACTTAGATCATGCATCATCTCAAACTCCTTAGCCAAGTAACTCTGGAGTTCCTCGATCTCACATGCATTGTTTTCTGTAACCACTATGTCATCCACATATACAATTAACATAGTAATCTTATCACCACCACGCTTAATAAATAGAGTGTGGTCAGCTTGAGATTGTTTGAACCCATAATTCTTCATAGATCAACTTAATATGCCAAACCAAACTCTTGGTAATTGTTTCAGGCCATAAATTAAAGTGCCTTTTTTTAGCTTACACATTTTTCCTCCATTTGGTGTAAACCCCAGAGGAGGATCCATGTATACTATGTCTCCATGTAAGAAGGCATTCTTTACATCGAACTACCGTAATGGCCAATACAAGTTTGCGGCAAAGGACATGATGACTCGAATTGTGTTTATCTTGGCTATTGGAGCAAACGTTTCCAAGTAGTCCACACTCCATAAATTTGAGTATAACCTTTTGCCACAAGCCGAGCTTTGTACCTCTCAATTGATCCATCTGGCTTATACTTGGCTGTAAACACCCATTTACAGCGTCCAGTCCTCTTCTCATCAAGAAGATTTACCATATCCCATGTACTATTTTCTTGGAGAGCTTTCATTTCCTCTGTCATTGCAGATTTACACTTTGGATCTTCTAAAGCTTCTTGAAAAGAGTTAGAAAGAGATACAGAAGACAATTGAAGTGCAAAGGCTAGAAGAGTTTTAGAGAGGCGATGATAGGACACATAATCAGAAATAGGGTAAGTAACACAATTACTAGGGGAGAAACCAAAACGATATGGTTTATTCCTTACTCGGGATGGGTATCTCTGCTCTTGACCGTCACCAACTGGGTTCAAAGACAGAGACTCGGAATTGCTAAAATATGAGAACTATGAGAGAATATTTGTTTGTGAGAATTTTTTGTGTATTCTTCTTCTTGTATGAGATCATATTTGTAATACAACGGAACTTTAATGGGCAAGTAAATAATAAATTCATATTTCTATTTACAGTAGGAAATCAGGAATTAAAGTAAATCAAATATAATTATAATGGGAATCTTTGATATGTAAGGAAATAAAGTCAATGGTCCACAAGTCATGCCAACAGGAATTGTCAGGCTCAACATACAAAAGAAAAGGATTAGATGTTTGTACCTCAGATGGTGCTACTACAGACGCATTCTCACAGGAAGCTGATTGGAATAGAGGAGTGGTATCAAGAGAGGGGTTAGCTGCAGAATCAGTTACGTCAAGTTCAGTAGAGACAGTATCAGCTGCAAATTTCTTTTTTTTCTGATAAGTTTTGTAGACCACAGGAGCCGGAATAGATGATTGCATATGAGATGGAGGTCCTTTGCATCTGTGGCATGTTCAACTTGAGAGGATATTTGCGCAGGCATGCACTCCATCCTTAAACCAAAATGGCGTGGAGGAGATCCCGGCTCAAATATGTGCTTTCGCGATGGAGAAAGGATATTAAACGGAATTTTATTTTTTATCATAGCTGCAGTGGCGTTGACATCAATAACCCAGTTCACAGGTATGATCATTTGTATAAATGCATCATGCAAGTCGTGGAAGAAGGGAAGAAATCACAAGACCGATACAAGATTGCGTTAGGGGCATCGGACGAGATACAAGCTTTGTCTTACAGAGGATCCTGCCCTGTAAGTGATAAATTATGTATAGAATGAATGGTGTAATACATAAAATTAAGGCACCAACTCGTTGTAGCTGGAAATTTATGTACAATAAATATAAATGCAATCAAAATGTATACACAGAATAAAAGCAATCTGTGCTAAGAATCTATCCTTGCAAATATTGACGGTTATATTTTTGCTTTCGTAGCAATTTAAGCAGGCATTTCCTTTCCATTTCATCATGTCATGACCAAAACTTCCACACCAGCTTGTAAAGGGATGTGCATATTCACAAAGAAAATGAGTCATGGGTCTAAAATGTCATTGGCAGAATACAACAATAGCATGTAGAGCTACTCTAAAAATCAGAATCACTTTCTCAAGATATTTATCAAACTGACTATTTAACCCAAAGTTCTAAAGCTTAAGCATGCATGGCAAACCTACCTAAGTCCTTCAACCTGACCCTTGGTCCCGTACAGGAAGTCTGCAATGTATACTGATTGACTTGTCCATTTGATGGGAACCAGGAATGAAAAACTGGAAGATCACCATCCAGCAAGCACTGGTACCTTGCGGAGCAATCCCATAGAAAGCGTAATCTGGCTTACCCAAGTGGCACTGAAGGCTCTTGCCAAACTGCTTCACACTCACTTGCACAGATTGAGCATCTCCCCTCAAAATCGTCCTTGCTGACCGAGTCTGAGCACTGAGGTTTCGATCTTCAGATGGAGCATCAGCTCTTTCACCTAAGACCAACAGCTTCTGAAACTCAGCACCAAGTGTGATTAATGTTGTGGAAATCTGACACTACTTGCTTATGGAAATATTAAGAAACTCAGTACATATGCTGACACTACTACGAAGAGCACGGTGGAGAAGAGAAACGTCTACTGCAAAAGAAATGCAGTCCTCATTCTGGCTGGAGATGCGATAGTCATCGAAAAGAGCTTCTTTGCGAAACTGAGCAATAGACTGAACTCCATCACCATTGAAGAGGTTGTGGAGGAAGATAACATGGTCTCTATTGAGGTAGAGATGGCATATCTTTCCCATCTTGTCTAGTGCTGGTAGGAACCTCATTTCCAAAAGATTTACACCATTCTCCGTAAGATATTCCTTGAACTTCTTCATCTCTCTATACTTGTCTGTTCTTGTCTCACTTCTCAGGCATAAAAGCTCTTGTTAATTCAATAAAGAACTATGATTGCTAACCAAATCCTACTGAACAAATTCAAACCCACCAAGAGTAGCCTTACAAATAGCACTCAAAACTCAAAAAATCTCAGACAGAGTGACACAAGCCAAAAAGATATAAATGAACAAGAAAGAAGAACATGAACAATTTGAGGAAGCAAATATCAGTCAAACATGGGCTGCACAGGACCAATAGCATTTCGTTGTCCTCTGTCATGGCTAGTCCCCATATCTGTGTGTAGACGAATATTTTGACATTATTCGTTAGTATACTGTAATAAAGCACACTCACCATGAAAAGTCAAATGGTTAGTATGGACAAATATATTATTAAATTTACTATATTAAATTATAGGTTCCACTTGATTTTTATTCACAGCTTGTCACTTTTAATACACTTTTCATAGAAAGATGTCTCTTGTCACTCCCCAGTTTATAAGAATTTTTTTATTTTTTATTTTCATTCAGTATGTGTAGTGCAGCTTAAGTCGTTAAGAGCATTCACTCATGCACCAAAAGTTATGTGTTTGACGCCTCCTCTAATATCACTTGTATACAAAAGAAATATAAATCGGTAATTAGTGTCTGAAAATTACTAAATAGATAGAGTAAGTGCTACCTATACATAAAGATATATAGAAATCGATATGTTATATAGCTGGTGCCTGAGCATTACTTTATATATAGACCAGCACTTACAATCAGGCTTCAGCCACTGCACTGCACTAATCAACCTTAAATTCCTTTAGTTTTACGGCACTATTGTCCTAAGATGCAGTGCATTACCAATTTACTTGCCCTGAACTCATCCGATTCAACTACGGTGCCTCTACAAGATCTGTTGCCTAAAGAAACTTTCTTTGAGAACTTGGATCTCTACCAGTGGGAAGGCTTCTGGTACAGACCAAAACACCTTGAAGCTGCAAAAGCCTTCCGCTCACAATTTGAAGCCAAAAATGATGACATTTTTTTGGCATCCGCCATGAAAACAGGTAGCACATGGCTGAAAGCTCTTTGTTTCAGCATCATGCAGAGGCAATGCAAAGTTGATGGCAAGGAGTACGAGGACCTTCTGACAAAGAACCATCCTGCCCATTATGTCAAGACCTTAGAAGTCCAGCTATATACAGCAAATCCACCTCCTGATCTTTCAGGTATGCACTCTCCAAGACTCTTCCACACTCACATGCCTTATAAGGCCATGCCTGAATGCATTAAATACACAGAGTGCAAGATTGTGTACATAGCCCGAAACCCTAAAGACACCATTGTGTCGATGTGGCACTTTATGAACACTCTTAGAACGCCTGAACAAGGTCCTTATCCACTAGAGGATGCATTTGAAAGCTTTGTTAATGGGGTCTGCCATTTTGGGCCATTCTTTGACCATGTTTTGGAGTATTGGAATCAGAGCTTAAAGATGCCTGAGAAAATACTGTTTTTGAAATATGAGGATATGAAAAAGGACCCAAAGAAGCAAGTAATGAGGCTGGCTTCGTTCCTGAGAAAGCCGTTTGACAATGAAAAGGAGGTCGAGGAGGTGATTCGAAGATGCAGCTTGGAGAGGCTCAAGAACCTGGAAGTGAACAAGAATGGGATTGATCCTTGGGTCGGGATGCCAAACAGTTCTTTTTTCAGGACTGGGATTATTGGGGGCTGGAAAGACTTCTTGACAACAGAGATGTCTGAGCGCCTTGATCAAATTGCCCTCAGCAAGTTAGAGGGATCTAGTCTTAGCTTTGAATATGATGCTATATAGAGTTGGTTCACATAACCAAACTCTGTTTGTAATTGATATGCTTTCAGTAGACAATGTTTTCTGATCCACATATATGCTTAATTATTTTCTTCCAGTTTTTGTTCACCTTATGATCCATATACTTAATTATTTTCTTCGTTTCTCCCACACATTTTTGTTGCTAATCAAACATGATGTTAATTTATTTTCCTAAAAAAAAAAAAAGGCATGTAACGATTTATCTTCCTAAGTGTGCATGGCTTAACCTCTCAAAGGTAATTAAAGACTAAACCGTTAGGATGTTAATGTTGAACAATCGAAGTTTAGCGGTTGCTTAACCTATATCAGAGCTTTGAGACATGAGTTTTGGGTTGAAAATCTCCTACACACATTCTCCACTGTTAGTGAAAAAATGGGACCTAGGACCGCCCAAAGGCAATAATTGTCTGAGCTGGGGTTTGCTGATCCCATGCTGACGTCATTAACCTATTTAAATAAATAAAAAAAGGAAAAAATACCAAAAAAATCAGAATCTTTTATTCTATAAATACCTAGCCATGTTCTTCACTTCCCACACCAAAACTTCATACAAATTCCTCTTCTCATGTCTCAAGTGAATAGTTCTTGCCTTTACTTGCCATGACAATAGATGGAAAAGCAAAAAAAAAAAAAAAAAAAGAGGATAGGGCAGTCACTATTCATGTGAATAGTGTCTGTCCTTTCTTGCCTTTTGCCATGACACCATGGTGAAAGTGCTCTTATTTTTTTAGTAGGATACGGGTGCACCTATAGATATGTTTTCTTTATGGGAATATTTGTCTCTCATCTTGATAGCAAACAAGGTGGTCAGTTACGTTGTTTTAAATCCGTTTAGTGGGGAGCTATCTTCAAATTCAATTTTTGGCTTCTTTTACTTTCAAATCTGACAATGTATACTCATGTGATTCATACCCTTTCGGAAGCCAACTTGACATTGTTCCTTTTCCTCTCTCACTTTCTCTTCTTTAATAACTTACTGTTCCGTCGCTTTCCCTCCTCTTCTTTTTCCATCCCATTTTAATGACTTTTGGTTAAAGGTCCGCTGAAGAAACCAACCCAACATCAGAGGCATTTACCCAAAAAGAAAGTACCCATCACTTATCTTTGAAAAAAGAAAAAGAAAAGGACCAACTTCATAACAATCATGCCTCGTGCCAATGACTTTTTCTTTTTTCATAAAAAAACTGAAGGAAGACTTTCATTCAGACTAGAACCAAAATAAAATTTGCGCCATAAAAGTACAAACTCAGGATGCACGAACGAAGCAACGTTAAAACCTTATCTTAAAAAATTATAAATGAAAAAAATTCGATCAAGAAAAAAGAGTACCACAACATCTTGCAAAAATTTAAACAAACTCCCACTCTCCAAATTGAAATCTTTAATCACGTTGAAACCCCTAGAGCAATAAAGAAGCCATCCACCCAAAAGTACCAATCATGTCTGCCTCTCTAAGCAAGAATCCATCCACTACTCTTCCATAGTTGATGCCTGTCACGCACAATCAATATTCTAGATATAGATTATAAAAATAAAAATAAAAGGGAAGCATTTAAACTTGATCCTTTTTCTTTTTAGGTTGGAATTCAACTGTTGTAACTTCCATGTTTTTATCTTTTTCTCCTTTTCGGTTTAGATGCTCCTAGATCTCATCTTTAACTTCAACTATGGAACCATTTTATCCTTACATATTAGTGGCACATTGATTATTAGAGCATCTCCAACCGATATATTAAATTGTCAAATAAATATAAAATGATAAAAATTAAAGGTTAAAGTTGCTCTAACCGAGTCGTTAAATCCTACATGGATTTGAAAGCTGGAAGAGATATATCAAAAATAACATATCAAAAAACTTGATGTCAAATATTATTTTAATATTTTTTTTAGTCATGGACTCCACTGTCATTTACTCTCTTTTAAATTTTTTGCATCATATGGGTCCTATTTGCTTTTAAAAATATAATAAATTAATATGAATATTTGGCATTTCGGATGGAGTTAATTTTTTTCCTAAGTGTCAAATTGCCACATAAGCCATCAAATTCAAATTTAACATTTAATATTTGATATCTCCCTTGGAGATGTTCTTAAGTAATTAAAAGCATGACTTGTTTCCATCTTTGCTTTTCTGTTATGTCTAGTCAAGACACTCATATGTTGTTCATGCAGTAAAAATGAGCTCATACTTACTACATTGGTGTTATTCCAACTAGGGAAGGAGAGCGCGAAAAGAAAGGCTAGGATTAGGATATAAACCCAAAAAGGACCAGATTAATCTAAATGTAAAGGTTTTACTTGGAGGTTTATATATGAGTCTTAGTGTCATTGGTTTTTCTATTACTTTTATTTTTGTTTTGGAGGGGAGCGACTAGTTTCTTAATTTTCAGTTATTTGAATATTTTCATTTGGGTTTCCTCTATGGTCCATTCTGAGGGAAGAAAACTTGCATGCACGGGGAACATATCATTCTTTCTTTATCTCTTTCTTTATGTGATAGGTGACATGAGAAGAGGAGGTGTAGG